GAGATTAAGCAATATTTCTAAATAATACATAGGTTAAAGAAGTCTCAAGATAAGAAAATATTTTGAAATAAAAAAATACAACTTACTAAAATTTGTAGGTTATAGCAAAAGCAATCCTTAAAAGACATGTGTTGTACTGAATGTATATATTAGAAAATAAGATCTAAAATCAATCATCCAACCTTTCACCCTAGAAACTAGAAAAAAAATTAACTCCAAAGAAAACAGAAAACAATATAATAGAAATTAGAACAGAAATGAATGAAATTTAATACAAAACAACAGTGGAGAAAAATCAACAAAATCAAAACTGATTTTCTTGAAAAGATCAACAAGACTGATAAGCCTCTAGACAGGAGAGTAAACAAAATCACTAATACCAAGAATGGAAGAGGAGCTATCACTACTTATGTCATGAAACTTTAAATATTATTCTATAAAGACATTAAGAACAACTATGGCTACATACTTGATAGATAAAAGAGACAAATTATGTGGCTTGCTGTTAATGAATAGGATATGTTAAAAGTGATAGGATATCTCTTCTGAGAATAAAGCACCATGTCTTGGCCTGCCAACTCCCATTAGATACTATGTTACAAGGAGACTCAGTAAGTCTATGAATAGACCCACATGACAAAGAATCAAACAGCAAGCATGTAAATTAACTTAGAATCAGATCTTGTGGGATGTGATGACACATGCTGAGCACACTTGGAGGCTGAGGCAGAAATATTGCAAGTTTGAGCCTAGCCCACTTTCCTTAGAAACTTACTTAGATGCTGTGGTGGATTAAGAACTGGTGGTCAACTTAACCCCAGCTGACCTGCATCAGCATGGCACTGAGCATAGATGCTCCACCTGAGGAAAGTTGCCTGCATAAATAGAGAGGTGGAGAAGGAGAAAGAGGGCATTAAGGTATTAATGCGTTGTTGCATTGAGACATTGTGGGTACTCCTATGAGTTGTTGCTTGAGTCATTGGTTCTCCTGGAGAAGCTGTGGTCCTCACATCGAGCATTGCTTCCTGGCTCTGGAAGGGAAGATGTGTGTTTCTTGGTCTTCAGGATGAACTCACACTGGCTTCCTGGCATGCACTCGACTGTGCTTGTCATTGGAGGAGCTCGGGGCCTCCGTGTCTCTGAGGATGGCTGTGGGTGCTTTTCAGGACAGCCCTGGTCTTTGTTGTGAGTGTGACTTCTCGGGTCCAGCGTAGAACCCTCATCCCACCAGCACAGCTCCTTCACCCCGCTGGCATGGACTTTCTGGCTTCCACCGCTGACCATTGGGCCTTCCTGGCACAGATCCGTAAAAGAGACTGGTGTGAATCCTTCTTGTGGGCTCTGGACCTCCAGTTGGCCTCGTGGGAGGCATTGTCATGAGCTCTGGGTTTTCATCTGGACTCATGTGAGACATTGCTATGGGATTTAGGCCTTGACTAAATATTCTATATTTTTGGTGTTGTGGATAGATTTCTTGTATTTTCTTGTGTTAACTCCCCCAGTGACCATTATAAAAAAAATAATATTATAAAATCCATGTCCTGATTCTAATTGTTCTCTGCACAACCCCTAACTACAACAGATGCTGTCTCAAAAAAAAATGTTTTTTAAAAAAGGGCGGGAGATGTATCTCAGTACAAAGACCCTGGGTTCAATCTCCAGTACAGAAAACAAAACAAAACAAAGACCCCAAACAAACAAACAAAAAACCCTGGATCTTCAAGGCCTGTCAACAGCTATGTGAAGGAAAGGGCTTGGATGGGGACAAGTGAACATGGACCAAGCTACAGTTATGGTTGGTAGTAATCTAACTATAGTTCAAATGATACCATAAGAATGGGAGACTGAGTGTAACCTTGAACCACCGGTATCTGGCTAAGTTATGTCTGGATGACTGACCTACAGAAGCTGTAACACAATAAATGATCATTTTATTTGTATGTGTTTGGAACAATTTGTTATGCAGCAGTAGATAACTGCTACATATTTTCTGACCAGGAAATCCTACTTCAATGTATCTATACTAAGCAAAGCAGTTTTTTCCCAATCCTTTTACACATCAGAACATATGTTAGAAATGCTAATACAGTGATACATTGATTTATGAATTTGATTCTTTGCACAGTTCTAGTCACAAAACCAAATTATTCGAAAACCAAATCAAATCTAGTGGTTAGGTTCAATGTTGATCTTATGGGGAAATTTGATTTAGTTCTCAAATAATTTGGTTTGTGACCAGAACCATGGAAAGAATTAAGTTCGTGAATCAAGGTATCATTGTACTTCTACCATCTCACTGGGATAAATAGATGTCTGTTATGAGCAAGAGACAATTTTCCTTATGGATAGCAGTTAGGGGAGACAGGCCTGTCTTCCTGGAAGGCTATGGGAATCAATCCACCAAAACACCCACAAGCCAATTGAGAGTCTGTGCCCTAGAGAATTTCCATATGGGCGCAAGGAGCCGTGCAGTGAGATGTCCATTGAATTCTCATAATTGTATGAGACAACCCATCAATAGTGAAAGAAGTGCATTGTATAATTTTTGTAACAGAGTTCCATACAATAGGTATGTTATAGTAATATTGCAGTAAAGAATTATAAAATAGCAGTTGAAATGCATGACCTAGATCTATGAGTATCAAAACCACCAAATTTCCAAAGATGATTTTGAATGAAAATTTAAGCTATGAAAGGATGTATTTATCATTACACAGCCTATATAATTTAAAACATACAGATCAATAACATGAATTGATCATAAAACATAAAAACATTGATCACAGAAACATGAAAACAGGAATAAAAAGGAAACACATCAACTTTCACATGGGGCTTATTTGCAGGAAAGTGGTTAAGGTAAATAGAATAAACTGGGCATGATGGTGCATGACTAATCCCAGCATATTGGGAAACTGAGGCAGAAGTTTTGAAAGTTTGAGCTCAGGCAATTAGCAATTTAGCCAGACTCTGTCTCAAAATAAAATAATAATAAAATGATGATGATGATGAGTGGCTGGACATGTAACTCAGTGTGAAGTCTCTGGGTTCAATCTCTAGTACCAGGGAGGGAAAAAAGGTGAATAGGATCAAGGCATTAGCTGTAATTTTTGTTCTGAAAATGGAATGATCAGAAGATCTGAACCAAATACAATTTGCTCAGTCTATATGACAGATGCATTCATATGTACGCTTTATATTTATTTATGTTTGAAATATTTTAATTTTGGGGAGATTATTTGTTTTCTTTTTTGAGGTAGTGTCTCACTATGTAGTTCACGCTGGCCTTGAATTCACTAAGTAGTCCTGGCTACCCTTGAATTTGTGGTGATCTTCCTGCCTCAGTCTTCCAAGTACTGGGATTCCAGGCATGCACCACCATGTCAGTGTCAGAAATGTTGAAAATGATTTTTATAAAAGAAAATACATTTCTCTCTTGGTACAAAGATGAATATACATTAGGTCAGGCTTATTCATCATATTGTTTGATTTTCCTTTAACCTCATTATTTTGCTCTCTGACCCATGTAGACCAAACAAGTGTGGGTTAAGGCTTCCACCCCAGTTGCAGACTTGATGATCTTTATATGTATAACAGTATTTGTTTCATGTATTTGAAACTGCATTGTTTGGAACATCATTTTCTATGATTATCATATCTTTCCTGGAGAATGAAACAATTTGTTCTTTCTGATGCTTTTTATTTTGACCTCTTTATTTTTGTAGTAGTATTGCTACAAGTCTCTGTCCTCTTTTCTTTCCCTTTCTTCTGTTCTTTTCTTCACCTCCGCTTTCCCTTTCTTTTTTCTGCTAATATTTACCTGACATGTATTTCCATTTCTATTTTTTCTTTATCTGAAACTTGTATAAACTTTTAAAATGGAATGCCTAAAATAAGTTTGATTTTTAATAGGAGGTAATAACCCATATATACACCAATATATTTGGATTTATTCTTGTTCTTGTGTTTTCCTTTTATATCCTTTCTTCTTGCATCCCCACCTCATATTTTGCCCTTCATTAGAATTTTTCTTAGTTCCACGTTTTTTAATGGTTTGAAATTTCTGCACTTAACTTCTATTCTGATGCTATCCTTAAAGGTTTTGATCTATTTTGCTCTTTCCTATAAGAATAAAACTGCTGCTGTTGTGAACAAAAAAACTCTTTCCATTCACTGCAAATAGTAGTGTATTTAAAGAGCTCCATAAAATCGTATTAACCCAAAAGAAACACCTATGAGATTTTTTAAATTGTAGCGCAATTACCAGAATGTAAATCCGTGTTCATGATTGATAGTTCCTTTTGGACAAGCTTGATTTTACAATGAACAGCAACAAATTCCACTCTGGTTTCAATTTGTTTCAACCACCAGGTTAAAAAAAAAAATTAAGCTTACTGCAACACTAAATAGATGCACATTTTTAATACTCCCAGACAAACCATAGTATATAACATAGTATATGATAGTAATATAAGTATTGTCACATTGGAATTAATCAGAAAGGATTTTCACATTTCGTTTTATTGAAGAATAAACCAGAATTGAAAGGAATGTGGCTAAATGTTTTAACATTTGTTAACGCTGGCTGTTTGATACATTTTTTACTGTCCTTTTCTGTATCCTTGATGATTTCATCATTTAAAATGAAAGAGTGTGCTCGGGACCACTAGGGATTAGCGAAAGCAGCCACCGCCCCCCCCCCACGCCGCCACATCAAGTGGGCGGGCTCCAGCTGACGTCACAGTCACTTCCGCCCCCGCAGTCACTGCCAGCCTCTCTGCTGAGTGCAGTGGGAGAAGCTCAGACCCGGAGCAGCGGCTCTGGCGGTCCAGGCGGTCAGAGGTCCAAGAGTCCTGCTCCCTAGAAGAGAGTGTGGCTGTCTCAACTGGGTGAGTGAAAGACTGATTGTTTCAGTGGTTCATCCCTGCGTTGGCGGTGGGGTGAGTGGCCAAGCACGGGCTCGAGGGTCTGGAGGGTGATTTGGGGACTCTCTCTTCAGGTTCGCCCTTTAGGAAGGGGTGGGGCAGAGGGGAAACTGACTGCAGAGTGAGGCAAGTGTCCTCCTTTGACTTAATGGGGCCCAACCTCCTTTGCTGACCTTTCGGCACAGCACTCCTAAGGCAATAGATTTAATGGCTTTCGGAGAGGGGAGTGGTTGGTGGTCGGGCCTTCTGCCACTTCTACCCTCCTCTCTCTACTCCCTCCTAGACCACCTTGCGGGAACATCCCACCCCAGCCCCTACTTTACTGCTGTTTTGCCGAATGGTAAACGGTTAAGATTTTTTAGGTAAAAATAATTTTCCCAGGAGAAAAATTGTGAGGAAAAATAATTTATTCTCATGGAAAAACTATGTTCACATGTCCTTTCTTTTGCCCCCTTCCCGGTCACAATGATGTGAGTCTGCCCTTTGAGTTGATAACAGTTTTGGACTCTTCTTGCACTCCCCCCCCATGTTGTGCCGGACATGGGCTCACGCATGCGCGCGCGCGTACACACACAGACACACGCACACAGCCCCTTTCCCAGCTCCTCCATCCTCCAGGCTTACTGGGTCTCCTCCCCCACGCATGCGCAAACATGCTTGCCCGCACCCTCTCATGCACCTTCCAGTTTCTCCCTGACACACAACACACACGTATTCTCACATGACCTCAGACCCTCTACTGCCCTCCTCCACCCTTCATAACCTACCACATGGACACCTCTAGATCCCATCCCTTCCCTCCTCTTGTATTCCTATCCTCTCGTATGCTCCAGCGTACATACACACATGCATACATCCTCCAGAAGCACCCTCCTCCTTGCCTGCCACATATACACAGAAGGACATCCTTTTGTTATTTGCCACTGAGACACACATCCTCCCTACACACAAACACACACACACACACACACACACGCACACACACACAGGTCAGACACCCTTCTTGTATATGCTCCTGTTTTGCCATGTGCATAAACGTCCCTCCTTTGCTGGTCTGCATGGTGTACACACTCACACTCATAGAAATCCTTCTCTGGGGACACTACCCCCTTCCTGCCTGCTGTGTTCACATATGAGGACAGTCTGGTTCCCGGCCTCTGTGCCACCCCCCCCACATCTCTTTGCAGTATTTCTGCCACCTGTACTTCTTGCATTTGTTTACACTGACATTTCATTTTTACCTTCCATTTTGATGAACATGTACACACACACACACACACACACACAAAAAAAAACTCTCACACACTCTTCTCCATTGCTACAGTAACTATCCCTGCCTGTGATGTACATGTAACACAGGCTTCCCTCCATAATCCCAGCTGCCATACCATACTTATATATACCCCTCTCCTGAAGCCACCCCACTCATGCATGCCATCTTTGTACCTATATTCAGAATAGGTCTCATTCTGGTGCTCACATCTTTCTCTCTGCACACATAGACATCCCTCTATTGCAGAATTTCTGGCTCCCTGTCTACCTGTCTTTCTCCTAACAGACATACAGACACTCCTATATACACAATGATCTATATTTTTCACTCTTCCAATTTGCATTTCTCCTCTAAATCTGCAACGGTCAGAAAAACGCAGACATCCCATAAAATAAACCAAAACACAGCAATCTTTTCTTTTCCTAACTTTGGCACAGTTCCACATTATTTCACCCACATTTCAAGTATCCAATCACTTTTCCACCTTCTGTCAGTCACATTCTCCAAGTCTGGCCTTCCTGCAAGCCCAATTTTGTAATCGTTTTGCCAACATTACAAATGTGTTCCCAGATCTACACATGACAGTCACTGGAATGCTACTCCATGCCTTAGAAGAAATTGAAACTAATTTAAAAGGCCCCTTATCCCATCTGTTACCTGCCTGCTGAAATGAAAATAGGTCTCCCTGCTCCCTGCTTTATTCTAAACTGATTTGACTTTCCCAGCTCAAAAAGGTGTACAGAGAGCAGGAACCCCCAGTTGTATTGGAAGCCCTCCTAAGTCAGAGCCATGGGTCAGGAATCTAGCAAACTTGTATGGCCCAAACCAGGAGGGTACCAGTCTAATACAGGCAGGAGGTATGGAAGAAGGCATGCTTATGTCAGTTTCAGGCCATCCACGAGCCAGCAGGAAAGGATTACCAGCCAGAGAAAGAGCACATCTGAAGTCCCAATGCACAGATCAGCCCCCAGTCAGTCCGCCAGGAGGAGCCGGTCGCCATTTTCCACCACTCGTCGTACTTGGAATGACAGTGAGAGCTCAGGTACCAGCCTGAATGCTGAAAATGAAGACTATTCCAGGTATCTGCCAAGAGAATACAGGGCTTCAGGGAACAGAAGAGGAATGACTTATGGATATATTGATGCTTTTGGGGCAGATGATAGTGAGGAGGAGGGGGCTGGGCCTGTCGAGCGACCACCAGTGAGAGGAAAAACTGGCAAGTTTAAGGAGGATAAGCTGTATGACTTGGGAAAAGGGGCAAGGTCTCTGGCAGGGCTGCCTCCCCAGTTTGCTAATTTCAACCATAATGTGAGAGAGGAGCTTGACAGGTTAGACCCATCCCCTGCAGAAAGACGCTCTGCTACCAGAGCTGAGTTCCTGAGGCAAAATAGTGTGGCCTCTCAGACATCTTCTGTGGAAAGCAAGATGGCTGCCAATGGAGACAGCTTGGACAGGGAGAGCCGGGAGCAGAGTTTCTGTGCACGGGCCAGCAGGGCTTCTGTGAGTATCTGTGGTGGTGGAGAAAATACCCCAAAGAGTGCAGAGGAACCAGTGGTGAGGCCTAAAGTCCGAAATCTGGCAAGCCCAAACTTCGTGAAACCAAAAATATTTTTTGATACTGATGATGATGATGATATGCCACACAGTACTTCCAGGTGGAGAGACACTGCCAACTCTGATGAAGGCTGCTCTGGGGGCCTCACAAGAAGAGGCAAAGGTGAGAGTTCAAGTGGCTACTCTGAGCCGAAGTACCTTGAAGACAAGAGGGAAACCAGGAACAACCAAGTGAAACCAGAGAAAGTGCCCAGGTTGCGACGAACCATGGTTGATCCCGACTTCTGGACATACGATGATGAGAATTGCAAATACTTTGATGACGACTCTGACAGTGACAAAGAATGGATTGCTGCTCTGCGCCGAAAGTATAGAAATCAAGAACGGCCTCTGTCAGCCAGTGGTGAAAGCTGGGAGACTCTGCTGGAAAAGAAAGAGCAAGAACCTTTACAAACTAGAGTGAGCATGAATGCTGCTGGTGTCGACTATGGCCTTGGTGCTGGAGCCAGTGAGGTTGCCAGCATCAATGCTGGGGCCAGTGAAGGTGCTGGTAGCAAGGGTAGTAGCTATCTTGAAGAAGTTCAAGAGCCATCACTTCAGGAAGAAAAGCAGGCACCCCTGGAAGAAAGAGAAAGTCCTTGGCTCCAGTCCAATGAGAATGAGAGCAGCAGCGATGGAGATAATGATTCTGGTCATGAGTTAATGCAGCCTGGGATATTCATGCTGGATGGAAACAACAACCTTGAAGATGACTCCAGTGTCAGTGAAGACCTCGAAGTGGACTGGAGCCTCTTTGATGGCTTTGCTGATGGGCTAGGAGTGGCTGAAGCCATCTCTTATGTGGATCCTCAGTTTCTCACTTACATGGCTCTCGAAGAGCGTCTGGCTCAGGCGATGGAAACTGCCCTTGCACACTTAGAATCCCTTGCGGTGGATGTTGAAGTGGCCAATCCACCAGCAAGCAAAGAGAGCATTGACACTCTTCCCGAGATTCTGGTCACTGAAGATCATGGTGCTGTAGGTCAGGAGATGTGCTGTCCAATTTGCTGCAGTGAATATGTGAAGGGCGAGGTGGCAACTGAGTTACCTTGCCATCACTATTTCCACAAGCCATGCGTGTCCATCTGGCTTCAGAAGTCAGGCACCTGCCCTGTGTGCCGCTGCATGTTCCCTCCCTCACTCTAATGACCAAGGCTGGTTACGGCTGGTCTCATTGTTACCCCCATCTGAAACCTACACTTCTGCAGGATCCTCTCAGAATTAATGAAAATGAAACCAGTTGGTCAATTAAACTAAACCTGTTGATTCCTTGTGATTATTTCTAATGTGAAATGATTGTGTATGATTGCATTAAAAATCACTGTCAGTTAGAGGTTAGAAAGGGAAAACTAATTTTTTAAATGCTACTTGAGATTGAAAGAACATAATTTTCTAACCTGGAAGTTGAAATAACTCACATTTTTTTTTCCTTCAGTAGAATATGTTGCTGTTAATTCTAATGTCAAGTTTTACATGTTAAATATGCCCAAAAAGAAAAATTAGTTTTGTTGCATGTTCTAAGCTAATGTTCCTGTAACTGCAGTGCTATAAAAGCTTATTAAAATCTTTTGGTTTTACTTGATATAACAGGGTTGTTTGGTTTTTGTCTGAAGTAGTGGTACCAACTGACTTTACAATCAGTCCCTTATATTTATATCAAAAGTGAGGGGTGTTTTTTGTTTTGTTTTGTTTTTTTTTTAATGCTCCCAGCAGTAGAAGAACTTTAGTTTTCACTTAAAATGTTGACCCCCAAAACAATGTTTGTGTGTGTGTGCAATTTTTTCATAGCAGGAATAATAGTCTACTATAGAGGAAAGGTAGAATAGGGAAAGATGAAAGGAAAAAAACAAGATAATAGTAGGAATACAAACTGAGTGTAAGAATGAATAAGTTAAAAATCACCTTTGGCAAAATAGGCACTCGCAGAGGAAACAGATATAAATAAATAAAGCTGTATGCTAATTACATACCTTAGCACCACAACAGTTAGGGACACCTGATAGGAACTTCGGGAAAATAGAGGTGCCAGCCTACAGCATGAACAGTTTGTAACGTTAGACCATATTTGCTTTAGATTGTTCTCTACTAAGTAAGAGTTTTCAAGCATCAGTGAAGTTTTTCACTCTACTATAGTTACCTTTACCCTCCCATGGATGTAAGTACTACCCAGAAAATTGTATATTTACTTGTTTGTAGATTTATATAGGATTGTGTGTATAGGTCTGTATCAGTGTGTGTGTCTCTATTAAAGAGAGTACTTACGTTTTAAAACATAGTGGGTAGAATATGTGCTATTATTTTGCAACTTGGTTTTTTTACTCAGCATTTCTAAGACTTAGCCATTTTAGTATGTATAGTTTTAATTGCTGTATACCAAATATCTGGTTGTATGAGTTGGTAGAGTTTCTCTATTACCCTATGGGTGGGCATTCAGGTCCTCACCAGCATTTTGGTGGCAGGGAGTATATTAGAAAGATAGATGAGGTTTTTTGTTTTGTTGTTATTGTTTTGTTTTTTTGTACTGGGAGCGAACTCATGACTTCACGTTTGCCAAGCAGGCACTGTACCACTGAGCTATATGTCCAGCCCCAAGACCCTTTCATACACATGTGAGTTTCTCTAAGGGTAAGTGCACATGAATAAAAAGGTCTGGTTCCCAGAGTCTGAGATTCTCCATCTCAACTGGACATTGCTAATCTGCTGTTCCGAGTAGGTGCACTAATGTATGCTCTTACCAACCATTTATGAGGCCTGTTTCCCCACACCTGAAAAGCCTGGATATTGTTAGCATCCAGTATCACTGGGAATCAGTGATGTGTAAATTAACGCACCAATGAAACATACTATGCCCATAAGAAAACAATAGGTTTTCTAACTCATCACATCTAGTTTGTGCTAAAGAAGATGATTTAAGTAGTTGATGTGCATATAAATTATAGCAGCTCTTTCAGAGAACAGTTTAGACAGTACCTGTTAACAGGTAAAGTGGCCCATATTTTGGATTCTTTGATAGTATGGAATTAATGCTATTCTGAAGTTACAGGTTGTGTCAAATATTGATATGAAAATATCTCCAATATAATGCTTTTCAAAAAGAGCAAAGTGTAGAAAAATATATACCTCATAGAACCAAACTATACATGAAATGCACAAAAATATCTGGAAGGCTGTTAGAGGATACCACTGGGGAGGAATTGAGGATCGGGGCAAAGGAATGAAGAAAGGCTTTTGATTTTCCACTGGAAATAATGCATTTTTTTCTAGTGTCACTGTATTTTTACAAATATTAACAAAATAAGGCTGCTGTATTTTTTTTGGTACTGGGAGTCAGCCTGAAGGCAAACTTCAAAAATTTTCAGCCAAGTATGGTGAGACCAAAACTTGAGAGGCTAAAATAGGATTGCAGGTTTGATCCCATCCTGGGCAATTTAGCCAGACCTGGTCTCAAAATACAAAGCCCTAAGGTATACTGTCTCACATGCACACAGCTCTGGGTTCAACACCAGTACCACAGTACTATTTTAAAAATTAGCATTCTCCCATTGTACATACAGAAACATGGGTAGAAGCCACAGTTCTGTTTTTGCAACTGGTCAAGCTGATCCTATGACTTTATTGCTTGCCAGACACTCCATGTTCCCCCTTGGTCTTCAGCCAGCATCTCAGCCATTAATGGAGACTCTAAATCTGAGTCTTTGCAAGGCCCTTTTTGGTGGGTCATGGTGATTTGTCGTGACGATTTTGTGTGGTCTGAGTAGCATCACACAGGAGATATTTTAGGAGCATCTTTAAAGGAGGTCCTGGTCATCTTCCTCTCTGCTCCCATGGCATAGCAGTGACCCTATTTTCCCATTAGTCAAATTAGTTAATCCAGAGAAGGTAACTATCCAGTGTCCATAGGTCCCTCCTGGTGTTGGAAAAACCTGCCACTGCAGAGTTAGAGGCAGGGCTGCTCTGCCAGGAAGGCCCATGAGGACAAGTCCTGGGTGCTTGGGGCCCTGCACAGCTCAGATGGAGCTGGGACCCCAGATAAGGCCGTTAGAAATCTAAAGGGAGGAAGTCCAAGAAACAGGTGTTCTGAAGCATTTGTTTTTGTGTTGCTATGGTGATGATGGCAGCAGCAGCAGTGGCACTGCAGCCCCACAGTGGTATGAAGCCCCTCCCCAGGCTGTTGGGCCTATAGCTCCTATGGCAGGCTATGGCTGTGTCTTTGGCTGCCCAATTCCCTTGTGCTGCCAGTTTCTCATTTTCTAGTGTCCCTGACAGCTCCCCAGGCTTCTCCTTGGCTTTCCAATACATTTATGATAAAGTTAACTAGAGCTGTTTTCTGTTGTTTGTAACAAAGAACCCCAAATGCCACACATGCTAGCACTGTAACCCACTTTTGTGCCTGTTTTCTTTGTCATCTGAAATATGCCACACGGCCAAGAGTCAAGCAGTTTCTGTTTAAAATGTAATGGACTCATATTTGACACCAGGAGCCATGGTTCTAGAATAGCAGGCTTCAGGGGCCTCTAGGTACAAAGTAGTCATTTCTGAAAGTAGATTTATTTGGTGTGTTCATTGAAAGCACCACCATACTTTGTTTTTGTTGTTGTTGTTGTCATTATTTTCTGGCCATGGGGTAAATAACCCTAAGTTTTGGTCACTAATTTGAAGCATAAACCTTTACTTCTTTCCAGAGAGCACTCTGACTTCCTGAGGTGCCCTGCCCAGCTGGCATCATAGCTGCACCCTTCTAAGACCTCTCCTGGGCTCTAAGTCCCTGCATGCTCTTAGCCCTCTGTTCCTGCAAAACCCTTCCGTATTTGTGCCTCAAGACCCTGAAATGGCCTTCTCAGTCCTGTCTCAATTCTATTCATCCTTTCAAAAGTTCATATGCTAGCTTTTGAAAAAATATTTGGATACTCCATAGCTTCTCCCCTCTGTGTCTCCCATCGTAAGTTTCTGAGATCAAGAGCTCTGCCTGAGTCGTTTTTATAGCCCTGGTATACATGCTTGGCATGTCCAGAAACACTTACTGGTAGGGTGACTAGATTCCTTTCCTCAAGTGGGCTTGGATGTGCTATGAGAACCAGCAGGATCACGGTAGCCTTGTTCAACCAGACTCGAGTCCGGTCTCAGGCCCCCTCCCAACTTCTGGCACCCCTGGCATCCCTGTCCCTTCTCCCCTACCACTGTCTTGTGGCCTCAAACTGTATCCCATTTTCTGTGTGTCCTACCAAATTCCCAGTGTTTTACAGATTGTTCTCAAGCTCAGGACCTGTGGGAATGAAATGGCATCATGTGAAGACATGCTAGATGGAGCCTCTGACTGACATAGAGTTGATAAGGCACTAGCCCACGTAGCCCCTGCCTTGGACAAAGCACTGGCATGGAGCAAGCCAAATTCTGGGTCCCCTGAACCAACCTTTCCACTGCTCCATTGGTGGCTGTAGAAAGGTACTTTGCAATCCCTGTTTTCCTGTTTATTGCCTTCTAGCTTCATTGTCCTGCATGGGTGCATGCATGTGTGTGTGTATGCATGTGTGTGTATGTGTATGAAAGCTCAGTGAGACTTCACAGTCCCTTACATTTGTTCAGCTTTCCTAGACCCCTTGCATTTAGTCAGTTTCACTGGCTCCTTCCAGAAGGTGGGTGACCAAGAGACTGGGCTCAGAAAGTGTTCTGCAAACAGCAGAAATATGTCTACTTGGCAGGGGGTGGTGGGGAGCAGGAATTCTCCACACCAGCAGTAAGTAGTCCCTGGGTGGTGAAGAGCAGGCAGGGCTCTGGACTCTGGACATTGGTGGTGATGGTATAAAAGCCTGAACCAGCCCCAGCTAGGCCCCATTCAGGTACTCTGGTCACAGGCACCAAGTGCAGGACCCTGTAGACGAGCTTCAGGGCACCAAGACAAAAAGACAGCAGGCATTTTGGTGGGAAGAAGAAGAGAAACAAAGCAACTATGTAGGAGGCCTCCTGCCAAGGTGCTGGGGACTAGAGGACTGTTCACAGGGTCAAAGGCTTGAGGCTGACATGAAGCCTGGGAGCCAGCCTGAAGACAAGTAGGGACTGAGGACACAAGCTCATCGAAACTGATTGTCAAGTGCCCAGTCCAAGTCACTGCTCAGTGAGGATCATGCTTACATTTAGCAAATAAGCTGGAGATTCAGCACTGAGTAGTTCACTTCAACAAATACTGATTGAGCTTCTGCATGTGGTATGTTAGACCAGGGTCTAAAAGAAATGAAAAAATCTCAGTCTTTTCCCTCAAAGAGCTCACAGTCTAATGAGGAAAACAGACTGGTGAAGAGGATTGCAGCTGGGTATGGTGGTGCATGCCTGTAATCCTAGCACTAGTAGAGGCTGAGGCCCTAGAATTACAGAAAGTTTGAGGCCAGCCTGGGCTACATTGTGAGTGCAAGGTCAGTCTGAACTACACAGTGATACTCTGTGTCAAAAAACCAAAGGAGAAACAAAAAGCATGTGCGAGAACTACAATGTTTTATAGAAAGCTGAGGCAAATGGGTAAACTGGGAGCAAAAACTGGGCTAACCAAGCTAGGAAGGGGGACTGGTCTTTGGAAGGATCCAGGATGAGGCCACTCACTTCTAAATTTCAGATAAGGAAATGGAGGGAGAGTAGGATTGGCCTTTTCAGTGTTCTTGTATCAATTGGCAGCACTCCTTTGAAGGGCTTCTTAGTGAAACATCACATTTAAAATCTGCACATACACTGATCTGGTGTTTCCACTGGTAGGAATTGATCCTACATGAACAAAAGCTCAAAGTTGCTTGTACATGGATATTTATTGTTGCATTATTTGTAGTTACAGATATGGGAAAGCATGTACATGTCCATCACTGGGTGTCCAGCTAAATTATGGCACAGCTAGCAGATGCTTTTCTAGATGGTCTGTATATAGCATGGGGCAGGTCCTCTGGTACTTACTGCCATGCAACAGTATTTAGAATCAAGAAGTTATGAAAGCCAGGTACAGAACCATTGGCTCACTTACTATTTTTGTGTTTCACAAAATATACATATTCACATGGAGGTGTACATACAATATTCTGCAAAGATAGACAGGAAATGGGAGCCAATGTTGAAGGTGAGAAGGAACCTTGCTTTTCGCTGTTTACTTTTTTTTTTTTGCAGTACTTGGGATGTAACCCATGGCCTCATGCATGCTGAGGAAGTGCTCTCCCACTGATCTATATTCTCAGCTCCATTGTCCATTGTATGCTGTTTTCCTTTTGTGATACTTTGGTTTTGTGGGGATTTTTAAAAAGACTTTATTGGGCCAGGTGTTACCACTTACCCCTTGGGGATGCATTTGGCCGGCTCATTCTGTCTTTATCTTGAGGCCTAGCCTCCAACAGATGTGCCTCTGCCCACAGTTGTACTGTGTCTTCATCTTTTGTATTGATTCTTTTGAGGACCTAACCTCATCTGACTACCTACATTTCTGCTTAACTTAGCTGCCTACAATAAAATGTCTTGTTTCACTTTTGTGTTTGTGTTTTTGGTACTGGGGATTGAACCCAGGGCTCTCACAGTAAGCTACGTCCCTAGCCCCTTTTAAATTTTTTGAGACAGGGTTTTATTAAGTTCCTAAGTTGCCCTGGCTGAGCCCAGATTTACAACTCTCCTGCCTCAACCTCCCAGAGTGCTGGGATCTAGGGAATATACCTGCACCTGGCTGAGAAAGGCTTCTCAAAGGATGTCCTGTATCTGAGTTGGACCTTTCAGAGCCACTTCCTGGTTTTTTATTTGTTTGTTTGTTTTGTTTTGATCATGTATGTGCATGATAGAGAGAAAGCGAAGGAAGAGGGGAAGGAGGAGAGCAGAGATCTCAGGCAAAACAAACCAAATGAACAAAGGTCTAGAAGTATGAAATAAAATGGGGGGTGTGTGTGTGTGTGTGTGTGTGTGTGTGTGTGTGTGTGTTGTCCCTGTACTATGAGACAGACTCTACTAGGTGACTTCCAGTAATACTGTTACTGGAAAAGTCCATTGTCAGGATACAAGTGAGAAAAAGTTAGGACACTCAGCCACAAGGCCAAACCCTATGGAAATCAGAAATGTCAGCCCAAGCAGGGTTTGCAGGGGGAAGATGAACCTAGCTAAGCTGACGTTGGGTAGACAAGATAGTAGGCTGGGAGATAGACCAGCACTCAGGGTAGGGTCACCAGGATTTCCACATTGTGTGTACACAACAAAAAGATCATCGGGAACTCTAGCAGCAAGTCAGCAAACAGTGATTCTCGATGGTGGAATTACAGAAATATACTTACTTATTTTGTGTTTTGGGAGTATTTCTAAAATTGACTTCAATCAGCAGGTGAGGGCCAGGGATTTAGCTCAGCAGCTTAAGTGCTGGCCTGGCAAGCATGAGGTTGCAAGTTCAATTCCCAATTTATATAAAAAAATCAGCAGATGAGCAGGGCGAAAAAGTAAAAGGGCTCTTGGTAAACGCCCCTGGCGCCAGCTGGGAGCAGAACCAGAAGCGGCTACCTGAGACCTGGCCATGTTGGGACTTAGGCAGCTGCATAAGAAGGCAATTTGCTCGCCCTCTTGCTCAGCGCCCATGGTGCTGTCTGGCAGGAGAACCAGTCAGCTGTTCCCATGAGCCTACCATGCTCCGGCTGAGAATCAAACATTCTCCGCCCCCCCCCCCACCTCTGGCCCCTGTCAGCAACTGGGGACAGAGTTCTGAGCATCTCTTGGGAGGATGACCATATGCAATATAGCAAATATGGGGGATTTCCTTCTATGTTCTGTTTCAAGGCAAAGGTTATTTTCACTGTAATGTTTTGTAATGATTGTTATGCTCTATTCAATATTCTCCTTCAATTGGTTTTACAATAGTGTGTTATTGGTTTGATTTCTGTATACCTAATTGACTGGACAACTATTGTGAAGATAATGAGATATACTATAGTACCTATTACTACTATCCCAGTATCCTGCTGTGAAGTTCTGTACCAATGTCACTACATTGTCTCGATTCATTGGCTTTGTTTTATCTTGTTCTGTTGTATTTTTACTACATTCTAAATAAAAAAAAGTAAAAGGAAATTGGACTGTTGCTGGAACACTGACTCAAACCTTGCAAGTAAAGATCTTACTAGAGGGGGCTGGGGATTTAGCTCAGCAGCATAAGTGCCTGCCTTGCAAGTGTGTGGTCATGAGTTTGATCCCTGGTACTGATAAAAAAGAGACAAAAAAAAAAAAAAGATATTACTAGAGAAGCTGAGCAGGCTGAACTGGCCATCCTGATTCTTGTCCAGGTCCTTTTCAGGAGTGAGAAGCTTTGCTCTTAGGCAGTGTTGCCTGGTGGAAAGACCTTGGCATGTTGAGTGAGACTTCAGTCTGAAATAGCTTTCATGCTAATTACCTTGTGAGCACTGAACAAAGCACATGTCTTCTCTCAGTCCTGGTGTACTTACTTACAAAATGGGACAGAAATCCTATCCTATAGGGTGGCTGGAATGAGCAAATGAAAATAACGGATGGACAAAAGCTGCTATAGGCACTGAAAGGTCTTGTTATCATTATCGTTTTTCCCAGCTCTTTTCTTTGGGCTGTAGCAGCAGGATCCTATGGCTTAGAAAAAAGAAATGCTCCCTGCCCCATTTTCCTCTCTGTAGTGACTTTGCAAGGCTGACTCCAGATGCCTGGTCCTGATTTGGAGAGAAATACTTAGCAAGAGTCCAATATTCTCTTTGGAAGTGGAGTGCAGCAAGATAGGAGGAGGAAGAAGCAAAACGTTTGCTATTTTTTCTGTGCAGTTGACTCTGCTGCCCAAGGCCCTTTGCTCACCACTTTCTGCGGGCACAGATAGTAGCTGAGGCCCTCTTGGTGAAGGGCTTGGCTTCCTGTTGAGCATGCTCACCCTGTCCAGGCCCGCTGAGGAATGTGGGCTGATCCAGGCTGGATGACCTCTGTGTCTGTTCTAGCCCCTCCCAGGGCCCCAGTCTGACCCCTCCTCAGGCCTATATGAAGGAGTTTCTGTGTCACAGGGCCCACCTGATTAGAACATGGCTGTCTCAGGGACTCCTGTCTCACAGCTGACAAGACCAAGACTTGCTCAAAGTCCTCCAGGCTGGGGTCTCACCTGGGGCTGTGTGAGTTGGATGTTTTGACCATCTCTGTTCTCAAGTGGAAAAGTCTTAGGTCACCGAATTTTCAGGGAAGCAAGGGTGGGGTTCTATGGCCCAGTCCCCAGGGCTTATCTATGAAGGCATAGGACTTGTATAGGCAAATTTGATGGACTTTAAATCCCAGTCTGATACTGGTTTTCCAAAGATGGAACTTGTCCATTGGCTCATGGTCACCAGACAAGTGTCTAATTGGGACATTAAAATGTACCTTCCAGGCTTTTCTTGAATAGAAGGGGTTCTTTGTTCTTTCTGTTTTTTCTTCTCTTTGGGCCTAAAGAGAACCACTTGGTTACTTTCTAGCACTGGACTCTGAGTGAGTCACCTTACCTCAGTTCTCTCATCAGGAAAATGGGGGTATTAACACTGGAATGGCTGTGCAGAGAATATGAGAGCTTAGTGCAGGGGAAGTCCATAAGAGGCACTCTATAAGTACTGCTTCCTTCCTATATTTATTGAGCATATCCTTTTGGAGCACTAGGGAATCCTGAAGTGACTAAGACAGTCTCTGTCTTCAGTCTCAAGGGCTCAATTGCCTTTGGCTAATAGCCCAGGTTTGACTTTGAGTTCTGCTTCTGACCCGAAGAATTCTGGCCTGTCCAAAAGACTCTGGTGCTGCTTTAAGCTCTAGGCTTTCTGCTCTATATGATGCTTAAGATTCAAGCTTCCTCTTGCTGATCCAACCTCATCTAGTATGTGGAACCCAGTCAGGGGACAGTCCTCCCTGGGCTGAGTGCCAGTCTGCCAAACACTTCTGTAAGTATCATCTCATGGAATTTTCACACAGTTCTAGAATCCAAATCCTGGCAGGCTAGCTCTGTAATCACTGCTCCTAACCAATTGTTACTCTTGTCCCACTCTGTACTCTCGGGGTACACTGGGTGGGGGAGCAGCCCAAGGCATTGAGCACAGCCATGCTTGACATGAATGTTCTTGGGTTTTCTCAGTAGAATCCTCAAGTGACCAGTGCACTGCCAAGTACACAGTAAGTGCGTACTAAATGGTTGCTGAATAAATGAATGAATGAAGTGAACTAAAATAGGGTGAAGGCCATGGGGAGAGATAACACAGATTGGAAAGATAACCAACCAGTTTAGAAGACTGATCCATTTGCAAGTATGAAGTCTTGGATGACTCCCAGGGTTTTGGCTTGGGTGAGTGGATGATGAGGTCATTTACTGAGATAGAAACCCCACAGGAGACAGAGAATGCTAGGGGGTGGAGAGTAGCTCTGGCAAGTCCAGTTTAGGATGTGTGGAGTTTGGGGTGTCTTTGAAACAGCAAAGGGATGACCAGGAAGCTGTGAAATACCTGAAGTGTAAAAAAGAGGGATTTGGAGCTCCTGCTCAGCCCCTTCTCCCTCTTCTCCTCAGATCCCAGCAGCCTTTTTACCCTTCCTACTGGGAAGGAAAGGAAAGAATCTTTGATGGTGGGAATGGGAGGGAATAGACTGTTTAAACCAAACAAACTTATACACAGAGCCTGCTTGTTGCGGATCTGCTGATCTGGCTCTGGGCTCATGTAGGCTGGTTTCCAGTGTAGCCCCCACCCCCCACTGGCCCCTGCCCGCCTGCCGCCTGCTCCCTGCCTAGGTAAGCTCTGACAGGGCGACTTGTCATCTTTTCAACACCTCATTTTTCCCTCCTTACTCACTGCCCTGGGAAAGGTCCTTCCTGTTTGCACACCTCTGAGGCTAGGCCCAAAGGAGGAACAAAAAAAGCCTTCATGGTGGAGGGGAAGGGGGTGCAAAGGGAGAGGCTGAGAGAAAAGGAAGAGAGGGAGGAGTTGGGGTGAGGAGAGGGGGAGAAGGAGACAAGGTGAACGACCTGCTTCTGCCTCTCAGTTCTGCCCCCTCCCCCTCCCCTCACTGTGTCCTAGCACTGGGCTGATAGACACACAGGTCCACACACAGGGTCGGCTCCGAGCTACTGAGCTTAGAAAACAGCTACTACCACGTCTTTCCTCCCGCCAGCGGAGGCTTGGGCCTAGTGTCGCCCATGCTGGAAGCCCCTGCTGTTTCCATCCGAGGTCACCTAGGCCCCGGGGCTTCTTTCTCAGCTTCCCCACTGCCTTTCTCTGGATCTCCGAGTCTGAGGGGGTAACGATGTGTGTCTCTGTGGCTCCTGGCTCCCTAGCAGGACACCCCTCCGTGAAGCCCCGCCCCGTCTTGGCTACATGTAGTCCCGCCCCACCCCGCCCCCTTCGATCGCGGGGCTTGGAATCCAAGGCAGAGCTGAGCTTGCAGGACACGCCCCTCCTGTCCCTTAGCTCCCGCCCCACTCGGCTCCCACGTGGGGACCGGGGCTCCCAAGCGGGGCCTACCCATTAGCCACGCTCTCTGGCATTGTCCTCGGCCTGTCACTCACGCGATCCGTTAACATTTCTAAAGCTCAAGTCTAGCCGCCGCTTTGGCCCAGTCTGAGCGGAGGAACTTAGCCCTATAGAATCGCTAACAATTATAACTAACTTTCAAGAGCACTTTAGAGTATATAATTCACTTTTCTATATAGGCATTTCATTTACTTTTCAAAACAGCCCTTAGTGGTGGGACACTGACATCCAGAGAAGTTCGGTGAGTTGCTCAAGGTCGCTGAGTAATTTCCAAAGCCAAGATTTCAGCTCTGGTTTGTTTGATGCTAGAGGCCAACATTCTTTTCACTACCCCACCTTGCCTCTCGGTAGAGCTGAACTTGCTTGCTTCTGCTTGGCTGGGCTTTCTTAAAAGGTAGGCAGGGTGGTTCCATCTTCCTGGGGAAGGCACACTAGATCTAGATGGCCTAGGAGCTCCTGGGTGGGATCCGTGCCGCTGCTTACCAAGGGGCTCAGCGGTGATGCCTCCCTCCTGCCACAGCCCTGGCAATACAGCTCAGGCCCAAAGCACACGTGCCTGTGCAGAGAGGAGACTTGGTTAAGGGTTCCTGAGCCAGCTGCCTAGGTTCCTTTCCCAGCTTTGCTATTTAGCAATTGGGTGGCTTTAGATAAGTGACTTGTTTTCTCTGTGCCTCAGTGTTTTCTTCTGAGATGAAGAGGGTAGTTTGTCTGACAGGGTGATAATGAGTACTACGGGAGTTACCTTGTACAGAAAACCCTGAACAGTACCTGGACAGTTCTGGGGATGAGGCATCGTGGTGTGAGCACAACATAATTTTTTTTTTCTTCAGTCAGGATTGGATTCAAATCCTAGCTCTTTCACTAACTGGTGGCTTTGATTAAGTGACTTAATCTCTCTAGTCCTCAACTTTCTCAGCAGTAAAATGAAGATAATAATAGTTCTCTCTTCTCAGAATTATTATGCATATTTGTGCATAATGTGTGCACCAGTGTTTTCTCAAAAGGTAGAATGCCATTGAGACTATATACCTTAAAAATGATTTTTACTCATTCTTTTAAAGATCTCATTTGTAATCTTGACAACTTTTATCTCTTTTTGCCTCCCCTCTGACACAGGAATGACTCTTATCCTGGGTGCCAGGTGCTTCCCAGGTCCCACACTAATCTTGGAGCAGAGTAAACATGTTCAGAGCCTCTTCCTATTCAGTCAAGGTGCGGAGGACAGCTTTAAGGCATGTACTTTCCACATTTGTACCTTCTGTGTTCCTCTGGGTGAGGAGGAAATCCCTCACATATGCTTTACACTTGAAGTCTAAGAACTCTGTTTGGCTGTTTACTTATATTAGGGCCACTATTCTGGTTGAGCAACTTAGCAAGACCCTGTCTCAAAATTAAAATTTTTTACAGGGGCTCAAAATTAAACTCTGTCTGGGGCTTACACTGGGGCTCGGTGGGCAGACTCTGTGAATCTCACCTTCCAGAAGGAATGACAAGGTCCACAGATGGGAAGAAACTTGCTCACAGATCTACAGTGAGGAGCTGAGACCAAGTCTTGAAAGAGCACTGTCAGGACCAATAGCTAGTGTA